GATCCTGCTGAGATCCATGAAGAGCATCTGCACACATGACCTCATTTCTGAGGTGGCAAGTGTCATGGTTGTACAGCCTCCCAGTGGAGCATACTCTTTGTAGAGTGGCCTCAAAGGTCAGCTCCATGGCGGTCCTGACAGGTGGTCTGGCTCTAGAGTCCCTGGAGAGTGGGGTGAGGGTAGAGTCCTATCAGCCATGCATTGTGATAAGAAAGGAAGACACGTGCAGAATATTCTAAACACCTTTTGGATAAACAGTACCCCTGAAGGAATCTGGACTGTGTCCTCACCAGGAAGTCAGCCTTTCCACTGAAATTGGCCACTCGACCCTAGGAGACACTTCCTACCGTCTCTAGAATACCAATATCTAAGGAAAAATGAGCATTTTTTTCCCATTTAACGGCATTTATTTTTGTTTATGTTAGTTTCCTTATTCACTTCTAATGTTTCCATAAAACAGAAAAAAATAAAAGCATTATCAATCTGTTATCACAATTAATAATATTGATGTATGCTTTATAGTATTATAAGTGTATGTATACATGTAGGCATGATATATAGGGATGTATATACATTATATAAGTAGGTATATAACTCTGCACATATTTATATATGTATATGTGTTTTTTCACTAAAATATTAAATATACCAACTGTTTTATAGCTTGTACTTTTCACTTAATTATGTACTATGAGAATGTCATTAGTATCTGCCCACTGTCTGATATTCAATTATTTCATTCCAGCATTTACTTAATTAATCTCTCTTGCAAGACATTCTAGTTCTTCTAGTTTTCTGTACAATTACATATAGTTGCAGGTACATCTCTGTCCTCATTTCTGGTCATTTCCTTAGAAAACTGCCATAAATGAAGCTAAGTTTGGAAAAATGTGTGCATTGATGGTTTTAGATTTTATGTGCCTGACTATCTTCCAGAAATGATGGACCTGTCTATACACTACATACACTTGTGTGTACATGTGTGTGTCCTGTTGTTTCTGCTCCCCGGTGACTACAGTGATCAACAACTTCCAACCACAGTGTTGCATACATGCCTGGAACTTCACTAGTCACATGGGTCTTTGGCAGAAAGCCCAGTATTCAAGCCCTCCTTCTTAATATTCCCTGAAATATAGAGGAGGAAGCCAATACTCAAGAAGCCTTCCTTGCAGGGATAGTTATTGTATCCATCCGCTCACTGCATTATGTTTAAAGCCTCCCTGGGTAGAGATAGATTAGAGAAAGCTGAGGCCCCCTGCTCGAGCTGTGCTCCCCGTTTCCTTCCACCTCCTAAGCCTGCTTTCACACAGAGTATGATTATGATGGGAAGTAGCTCCACAAAGCCACTTGTGTGCCCTCAATAAGACTGTGATGGGGACGCTGCTCATTACATCACACAGTCTTTGCTTTATGAGGGCTCCTGGGAACTATTCCTGTCTGGCCTCTGTGTGAACAACAGTTAGAATTTTCCTGAGCAATTGGTTTGTGTTTATCTCACAGACATTGTAAACTGTATATCTGACATGCTTTCTTTATTCTACTGGTGGCTGTGGTGCTCGGGTGTCCCACTTGTGACCCACAGGCAGGCACTGGAAATGCAGAAATGTAGTCATAGCCTGAGAAGCAGCTCTCCTGTGCTCTTCTTATCTTGTGGAGCCTTGTGTTTAATTTACACTATTTTGTCTTGCTTTGTATCCTATTGTAAGCCACCTGAAAAACGCTGAAAAGTAGATAAATAAATAGGATGTGAAAGAGCTCCACAATGTGTATTTCTGTCTGTTTTCTTCAACAATTCCTCTGTTCTCTGCTTTAACATCCTCCTGTTTACAGACCCGTGGCTTAGTGCATAGAAGTCAGTACTGTAGCGATGCTGACCTTAGAATAACTGGAATACTCAAAGTTTCTGAAAATATTGTAATTGTCCTACCTCATTCTTATGACCCCGAGGAGTTGATGCCATTGAAATGGCAGTGCCTCTTTGAAGCAAAATGTACTTTAACTCTAATTACAATGAAAAGAGTCAATGACACTACTTAATACTGAGTAACACAGAAGGAGGGGACACAAGGAGCAAGGAAAGATTGTTAGTGCCTAGATGGTCTTTGTCTGCCCAGGGAGTTTTCAACTGCAAGAAAAAAAAAAGGTTCAAATTTAAGAAGTGAGATGACAAGGGAATCCGTGACCGATATGTAGAACTGAATTGTATTGCAAAATAAATTAAAATAAATTAAAAAAAAAAAAAAAAAAAGCTCCACAACACAGTCCAGTTGATGAGAACAACCAATGAAATAACAAACATCATATTCTGGGGAAAGATAACAGAATGTCTTACCATGCAGTTTATTCATTGTGTGTGTGTGGCATACTGGGAAATTAGACCCCTAGAGGCTGATAAAAGCTTAGAGTATATATCTTTAATAAATAAAAAAAAAAAAAAAAAAAAAAAGAAGTGAGATGACAGCAGGAAAGACCATGAAAATGTATACAGAGCCCACTGGGCCAAAGCACATGAAAACTCGTTCAACATCCTTGGTCTTTAGGGAAATAAATTTTCTAATCACACTGAGGTACAAATGAACATCTATATGAATCGAGAAGACTGACTACAGTGGATGTTAGTAAAGATGCGTGATAAGTGAATTTACATAAACTGGTAGTGGCAATGCCATGTTTGAAATAGCTCCTGGTTCTTCAGAAAGTTAAACTCATGTCTACACAAGATCTGGCCATGTCACTACTCTATGTTAACTGAAGAAAAATGAAAGAATACACACACATACACACACACACACACCCAAAGATTTGCACATTAATGTTTATAACAGATTCTTCTTAGCTGATAATAGTGGGAGCAGGGGCTGTCTCTGACTATGCTGCCTGCTTTGGGGACCCTTTCCTCTTACCAGATTGCCTTGTCCAGCCTTAATAGGAGAGGGAGTGGCTAGTCTCACTGCAACTTGATAGACCATGGCTGGCTGATAACCATGGGAATCCTGCCCTTTTCTGAAGAGAAATAGAAGAGGAATAGATGGGATGGGAGGGGCAGGCATTGGGGGAAGGAATGGAAAGAGAGGAGGGAGGGGAAACTGGTGTCAGGATGTAAAAACAAAAAAACAAATAAACAAAAAAATCCATTGTTAAAAAAAAATAGAAAACAACGCAACAGGCAGCTATCAGCAAGTTAATAGGTAAGAAAATTACTATATATGGCTTACTAGTAATAGTCCATTGTTAGAACAGAGTATCCCTAAGAACAAGCTAACTAAATAAAATATTGGTACATGCAATGATTTAAATGGACCTCACTTCAGAATTATTGAGAAAAAGAGCTTAATACTGCTTGGTTCCATTTCTCTCTCTCTCTCTCTCTCTCTCTCTCTCTCTCTCTCTCTCTCTCTCTCTCTCTCTCTCTCTCTCTCTCTCTCCCTCTGTCCGTGAGTGTGTGTGTGTTCATGTGTGTATGAAGACATTCATGCAAGTGCCACAGAAGGCATGTGAAGGTCAGAGGACCACCTCAGGCACAGGTCCTCACCTTGTACCTTCTTTGAGGCAGGGTCTGCCTTTTGTGTCCACTGTGGTACACCAGGCTAGCTGGCTCATAAGCTTTCAGGGATGCACCCATCTCCAATTCCCACTCACCACAGGCACACTGGGATTGCAGATGCTGGGCTACCACATAGGGATTTTCGTGCTTTCTGGGAATGTGAACTCTAGTCCTCATGCTCACACAGTAAGGGCCTCATCCACTGACCTATTTCCCCAAGCCCTGCATTAATATGAAAGTGTAGAACATGTAAACTAATGTGTAGTATCAGGAAACACACCAGAAGGTCTTTATTATACACTGGAGTAGAGAGAAATTAAAAATGGGGAAAAGGTCACATTGGAAGGTGACACTGATGTTCATTATCTTGATTGTGAAACTATTCACACATAAATACATTAAATTTGTCAAGTTGTATGCCTTAAACATTATATCTCAATTATCTTCAATAATGCTGTTTGAAAATATTTGGAATTACATGGAAGCTAAATATGATGGCTCACACCTGTAATCCCAGCACTTGCAGGACTGGGACAGAAAGATAAAAACTTCTTTTGGTCCAGCCTAGGCTACATAGCAAAACTTTGTCAAAAGGAAAAGAAATGTGTGTGTGTGTGTGTGTGTGTGTGTGTGTGTGTGTGTGTGTGTGTGTGTAGAGGGAGGGAGGGAGGGAGGGGGAGGGGAGAGAGAGAGAGAGAGAGAGAGAGAGAGAGAGAGAGAGAGAGAGAGAATAAAGATGGCCTCGTGGATATTGCAGGGAGAATCTTAGCTCTGCTTTTCCTTCTGTGCTGCCTCAGATCTTGGTAGTTGTGTTTGTAGTGAGAGGAGCATGAGAGTGCTATCACCATGAGTGCTCTCATTCTGTGTCCCATCCTCTGGCTTTGTACCCTTCCCAGAGATGCTCTCTCATCTTGCTAGGGAAGTAGAATCGATGAGCAGAAAAGAAAGAGAAGGGTATTGAAGCTTAAAACACTGTCCTGATGGACTGTACTCAGTGATGGATTCATTTAGCCAAAGAACAGACTACTCAAAAGCATTTTCTAACAAAAGAGCAACAGTTTCATGAAGATATCCAAGTACCTTTTAGTCAAGGATGAATGACATCACAATCCCAGACCCTAAGGTACACAGTTTGTCTTAGCCTTAGCAATTGTAACTTTAGCAACAAAGCTTGTCCAAGAGAACTTGGTGGTAGTTGCGGGGGAGGGGGGGGCTGAGTCATATTCACAAATTCTAGACCTAGAACTTTTAGGTTACCATCAGCTTCTCCATCTCTAAAATGCCAATCTATTGGAACAGTAGATAAGATTTCACAAGAGCATGGATGGAGAGCAATATCCTAGGAGCAGAGAAATTTTTAAATGCCCCTTTCCCCACCACACCCTTCTTCACAGCTCATACTTACTTCCTTGCAAAGGGAGGGAATAGTGTGAACAAGAATCTCTGCCATTCTTACCTGGAGCCAAAGTTTGTCATGCTGAGACCACTTCCCACCAGCAATGCACTGAAAAGTGGCATTCTGCCCGACATTCACCTCAACATTTTGGAGTCGCAGGAAATGAGGTGCTTTTCCTAAGAGAGAAAACCAAAGAACACATGAGGACAGGATGCAGTTGCCCACACCACTTCTCCATCAGGGACAGCAGCCCAGGATAGGCCATGTGCCTGAGAAGATGCCAGGCTTTGCTAAGAGTTGATGGACCACTACAGAGTGAGGCCTGTTCTGTGAATTCCACACATTGTCTCATTTAAGCCTTGTGAAATCTATGGAGTAGACAGGACAGCATCCTTAGTTCACAGATCACAAATCTAAGACTCTGAGCATTGCATAATTGAGCACAGTCAAGCATCCAGAAAACATGGAAGCCAAGAGGTGAATTCTGTCCTGTGAGACCCTCAAAGTTCCTGTGACAACTTGGCCCACACATCCCTAGAATGGTTCAAAGTGAATGTTGCCCCTGGGAATGACAGTATGTTTAAGGCAGAATCACAGAACCCAAAGCTCCTCCCTTGACTCTGCTGATAATGCTGATGATAGCAATGGTTAAGGGTGATATTTTATTTGTGCTGAAGTGTGATTTTACTTGTATGTTAATAAATAAAGTTTGCATGGAGATCAGAGGTTATAGCGAGCCAGGGACAGCAGTCAGGTGGTGGTAGCCCATGCCCCTAATCTGTTCACATGGAAGGCAGAGTCTCTGTGTGGTCAAGGACACAGCCAAGTGTGGTGACCTGAGCCCTTAATCCCAGTACCAACCATAAAGCCCTGGAGGTCTGTACAGATAGGCAGTGATGAGGAAGTCATATGACTGGGTTTAGAGCCAATGAGAAGGCAGAACAGGAAAGCAATAAAACACAAGTCACACAGGAAGAAGGTCTCTCTCTCTCTCTGGAGAAGCGACAGCAGCGAAGTGGTAAGATAAGGTAGTCATGACTCTCTGATCTCTTTGGCTATTTACCTCTGTATTTGGCTCTGTGTTTCTTATTTACTAAGACTGTTTAGAATTTTGTCTACAGTTAAGGACAAAGAGTATAGTAGGAAGAAAAGAGAAGGAAACTATAAGAGCTGTCATTTACTGAGTATTTCTATGTGATGGGTACCATGCTCAGCATCTACAATTACTAAAAACAGTGCAACTGTCCCTATGAATTCCAGAAAGCTGACCATGTTCACAAAGGTGCATAGTTTACATTCTCAACTTTACACTGGGACACCTCCTAAGCATGGGTGGAATGTAGAACACAGATTCTGGGGATTGAGTATAACATGGTTTTCAAATGGAAATCAGCATCTAAGATCATCAGTCCTAGGATTAAGCCTGAGTCTCTTGTTGGATAGCTTATATTCATGTATTTCCTTGTTTGTGGTGGTAAATGCTCCTCTGTATAAATCCCCCATAAAACAGTAATGTCTCGTTCCCATTAGGTGATAACTACTTAGCTGATGACAAGAGGAATGAGCTTTGTCATTGAGTACAATGAAGATACCCTACTGAGATCAATAAAATCATTGATAAGCTGGCATAGACTCCTTATCCCAAGTGGGGCTAAATGGAGGGGCCTTATGATACCAAGGATATCAAGAAAAGTAGGAAGAATAACATATAGTGAAACCCCTACCAGTGCTAAACAGTAGTCTTAGTTGAGGTCTCTGTTGCTGTGGTAAAACGCTACAAACAACTTGGGGAAAGAAGGGCTTATTTAATCTTACAGCTTATAGTTCATCATCCAGGAAAGTCAGGGCAGGAACTCAAGATAGATACAGGATGAGAAATAGAGCAGTGACATGGAGTAAGGCTGCTTACTGGATTGCTCTCTGTGGCTTGCTCAGCCTGTTTTCTTTCTTTCTTTCTTTCTTTCTTTCTTTCTTTCTTTCTTTCTTTCTTTCTTTCTTTCTTTCTTTCTTTCTTTCTTTCTTTCTTTCTTTCTTCTTTCCTTTGGTTTTTCGAGACTGGGTTTCTCTGTGTAGCTTTGTGCCTTTCCTAGAACTCACTTTGTAGACCAGGCTGGCCTCGAACTCACAGAGTTCCACCTGCCTCTGCCTCCCGAGTGCTGGGATTAAAGGCATGTGCCACCACCACCCGGCTTCAGCCTGTTTTCTTACACCATCCAGGACCACTTGCCTAGGAGTGGCACCACCAGTAACGGGCTAGGCCCTTCCACATCTATAATTAATCAAGAAAATCCCCCAATCTGGTAGGAATGTTTTCTCAACTGAGATTCCCTCTTTCTAAATGATTGCATCTGTGTCAAGTTGACATAAAAACAGCCAGCAAAACACTTTACATGTTTTATCTTCTCTAATTTCATGGCATCCCTGTGAAGCATATGATAAAGGGTAGAAATTAATATCAGCAAGTCCAAGATTGTTGTGAAAGTTAGCGTTAGTTGTCGGCTTGACATAACTCAGAATCACCTTAAAAGAGGATCTCAAAGAGGAGGGTCTGTCTATATTGGGTTAATCTCTGGCCTTGTCTATGGGGATTATCTTTTTCTAAAGTAATATTTTTGTTAATTTTATGATAATTTCCTACAATGTACTTTGATCATATTCCCCATCAACTCCTCCTATACCCGCCCTTTTCATCCTCCCCTCCCTACCCACACAACTTTGTGTTTTCTCCCCCCTCTACATTAAGTGCAGTTTACTTTGCCCAAATTTCTGGAGTAAAGTCTTCCCTAGAATGGAGTCCACCTACATGGTCACAGCTTTGAAGAAAACTGACTCTCCTTCTTCCCACATCTATCAAATGCCAATAGCTCCTAGGCTAGCTGTAGAATTTCACACCACATCCTATTTTCATCCTGGGATTTTATTTGACTTGAGCTTATGCAGATCTCATGTATGCTGCTGTAATTAGTAAGAATTCATATGTGAAACTGCCATGTTGTATCCAGGAAACATTGTTTCCTTGATGTTATCCATGGTCTCTGGCTCTTACAATCTTTTCATCCCCTCTTTCACAATGACCCCTGAGCCTTGTGGGAAAGGGTGTAATGGTATGTATGTACCACTGAGGGTGGGGCACTCGAGTGTCTCTTATTCTCTCTGCTCATTGGCTAGTTGAGAGTCTTTGTGTTAATTGCTATCTGCTGCAAGGAGAAGCTTCTCTGATGGTATTTGAGATGCACTGATCTACAGCAATAAGTCAGTAGTAGTCATTTTAATACTGTATGTTCATTTAGCAGAATAGTACTATTAGGTCCTCCCCTAGGTCCTATGACCTATCTAGCCACAAGTTTTTTGGCCCTATTAATAATGCCAGGTATGGGTCCCATTTCATGGATTGGGCCAATCAAAAAGTGATTGTGTGGTCTTACAACATTTGTGCCACTATTTTACCAATAGGCATACTTATCATGTCACTTGCTGTTACAGCATTCAGAGTTTAAAGCTGTGCAATATTGATAATTACTTTTTAATTTTTTTCTATTTTTATTACATTTTTAAATTAATTTTCTCCTCCTGTATCTGCATAGTACTTTCCAGCACTGTGAATGCTAGCCAGTACAGATAAGGTTCCAGGTTAATACCAGCTTGATTTCCATGAATCAAGTATGTGGGGTCTTAAGAATTATGATCTTATCATCAAGTTCTGGAGGGCAAACAACAGTATTGACAATAGCCTAAAATGCTTAGGGGGTCTATGGGACCCCGTTGGCCAACAACTCAAAGAGAGGTAGCCCTTTCCTGTTATTGGGGATTTTATTTGCTAACATGTGGTCTCTAGTTGGGGTATTGTCCTCCTCTTGTAGGGAAACTCTACTAAAACTATTTTTTTTTTTTTTTGGTTTTTCCAGACAGGGTTTCTCTGTGTAGCTTTGGAGCCTGTCCTGGAACTTACTCTATAGCCCAGGCTGGCCTCGAACTCACAGAGATCCACCTGCCTCTACCTCCCGAATGCTGGGATTAAAGGCGTGTGCCACCACCACCTGGCTAAAACTATTTTATTTTATGCTTATGTATATATTTCAGAAAGCTCCTGTAGTAGTGGGTTTCCATTTGACTTTTTCAAAAGGCCTTTACTGCTAGTTTTCCCTCCCTATATTCTCTCCTCTACATTGTCTTGTTGTGGAATAATTTTTGAAGATGTGTCTTTAGCAAGGCACCTTCTGGTTGGTTTAATAATGAGCTACATGGCCAATATCTAGGCAGGAGGTATAGGCAGGACTTCCAGGCACAGAGAGGACTCCAGGAAGAAGAGAAGAAGAGAAGCCAGCCAGATGCTGAATAAGTCAGACACACTGAATGGGATAGAAGTAAAAGCCATAAGGTAGAACATAGGTTAATAAAAAATATGGGTTAAGTTAAGTTATAGGAGCTATTGGAACAAGCTTAAGCTAAGGCTGAGTTTTCATAATTAATAAGTCTCTGTGTGATTATTTGTGAGCTGGTGACCCAAACAGAAATCCTACTATACTCTCCTCCTATGCTCCACCCAAATTTAACCCTGCTTGTTCCATTACTCCTTTTTAATCCCCACAGTACTGTGGTCTAGCTCTCCTCCCTTGACAGCACCCCTCCTCCCATGGCTCCTTACTAATTCCCTAATATCTGTGGGTATTCCAAACAGAACACACACAAAGCTAATATGTAAAAATGAGAGAAAATATGTGATGTTTGTCTTTCTGAGACTGGGTTATTTCACTCACAATCAATGTTTCTAGCTTTATCCATTTACCTGAGAATTTCATTTTTAACAGCTTAATATTTTATAAGTTCATTTTTCTTAATATTCCATTGTGTAAATGTGCCACATTTTCATTATCCATTCATCAGTTGATGAACATCTAAGGCTCTTTCCATTTACTAGTTATTGTGAATAGAGCAGCAATGAGCATGAAAGAGCAAGTACCTCTATACTAAGACATAGAGTCCTTTAGGTATATTCCCAAGAGTGGTATAGCTGGATCCTGTGGTAGATTGATTTCCATTTTCTGAGGATGGATTTTCCTCCACACTGATTTTCATAATGGTTGTCCCAGTTTACATTCCCATCAGCAGTAAATAAATGCTCCCCTTTCTGTTAGGGAATATCTTAATTAAGCTAATTGATATAAGAAGATACAGC